TCAAGCTGTCCCCCTGGGTAGAGGGCTGTGGCATTACAGCTCACAGCAACCTCCAACTCCTGGGCTCAAGCGAGTCTCTTGCCTCCGCCTCCCAACACTGTTCTGACCTTTAATGCATTTTTCCTGTGCAATCTTCAGTGTGCTGCCTTGGGGAAAGAACTGTATCTTATCCATCTCTTACTTAAACTCCACATGGCTCAAATCAGGGAAATGGGAATGCTAGTTGTACTTAGCACAACAGGGCTGCTTCAGGCTAATCAGCTAGAGGACTGAGACGTGTGCCTGGCACAGAGTAAGTGCTTGATGAGAGAAAAGAGGCTGTGGGACATTTAAAAGGCCACTGTACCTACTTGGAGTCAAGTCCCAACCCTACTACTTCCTAGCTGCGTGACCTTGCGCAGGTTGTTAACCACATTTGGGAAGAAATGGTGATAAAAGTGTCTTTTGTGTTTCTAGTTCTCCCACATGTTCCACAGTAAACTTTCCTCTGGGGAATGTCTTGGACATCTGGGAGCACTACAGAGTGATATGGGGTCCCAGGGGCCTGCTGCTCCCTATGCCTCCTAACACTGTGCTTCTGTTATTAGGGACACTGTAGCCACTGTCCACAGGCTTAAACCCATCAGCTCTGAGATGTATTTCTCCTCTTCCTGCTGATCCTCCATATCTTTTTAATAGTAACAGTGATCCTCACCAATGACAATATGAATATGGTGGATGTATCCTGAGCTCTGGGTACACAGAGTCCATGCTCTCACTGCGCTTGGAGCCTCACCCTGAACCTGTGCACTGTGTTCTGCCCAGAGGCCCAAGGCCACAGGCTGGGAAGTGGAGAAGCCAGCCTGCCTGCCTGCCGGGGGGTGTGACCCCAGCTCCTCGGTCCACTGCCCTGATGGATGGGGAGCTGCCCTGACACTTGGCTCTCTGGGAGGGGGTTTGCAGCCCCTCAGCACCATACCTTTCAGAAGACACCGTGATGAGCCAGATAGTGTAGCGGAGAAAGCCCATTTCCTGCCTCCTGAAAACTTCAGGTGAAAGCCAAGCCCCTAGCTCAGCCCTGACACAGGTGACCTGCAGGATGGGGCCTGGGAAGCATGGTGTGTGGACACACAGCTCACCCATCAGCAGCTGGGTAGGAATGGATATAAGGGGTGGGGTCAGGGGAGATTACTTCTACGAGATTCCTTGCCCTATCTGCTGCACAAATCACCAGCACTGAGAAAAGAAGGAACGGACAGCACTGCGTACCTGACCTTTATCATCAATGAAGGGATCTTCCCCAAGGTACCTTCCATCTTTAACTTTCTAGCACTCTGGACAGCTCCCCTCTCCCTCCCACTGTGCCCCTGCTCCCTACCACAAGCTCTTGAGTTAGCTGGGACAGTCAGAGCCAGGCAGAGGCCAGGTGGAGCGGATGGATGGTGGGAGGGGATCACAACGCTGGTGAACTAGGGGACATCCTCACATAAGAAGCAGGAACACTGCTGATGGAAAGAGTCCTCATGTATATGTAAGACTCAGGGGGTCCCCTTCCTCTTGGGGCACCATCCTACAGCCCTGCACCTGCCCTGGGGGCTTTGGAGCGTGCACAGCTGATAACATCACATCCTGATTTTCTCACTTTTGCTTTTTTGGTACTATCCTAGATCTAAACGAGACATTTCTCAGATTAAAGTGGTTAAGGATTTGGATTCTGGGGCCAGATTTGTCTACTCTTCCCTTAACAGCTGTGTGACCCTAGGCTAGCTACTTCATCTCTCTGCCTCAGTTTCCTTTTTGGCAAAATAGGAACTATTACTGATCACTACCTGGGGTTACTGTGGAAAAGACTGAATAAGTTCAGATGGGCAAAGAACTTGGAGCAATGCCTGGCACACAGTGAGCCTGCATGGGTGATAGCAGGTGTTTTTATGAGCTTCCAGCCTTGGAAGACAGCTGTGGCTCTCAAACTTGAGCAGGCAGTAGAAGCTCCCGGAGGGCTGTTAAGACACTGTTTCTTGGGCCTCAACCCCGAAAGTCTCTCTTAGTAAGTCTGGAGTGGATCCCAGGTGACCGTGCCTTGGGGCCCACACTTTGAGGACCATAGCTGAAAGGCATGCAAATTGCTATTATTAGTTTCAATATTATCAATGTCAGTACCCTCACTCAGAGAGCAGCAGCCATGCGCCAGGCATAGTGAGCTCTTCTCATGCAGCTGAGGAAATTCTGGTGCTGAAGGCAGAACACTTACTGAAGCCCTCCCAGCCTGCAAAGGGTGATGCGTGGATGCTGCTCTTGAACCCAAGTCAGTCTCGATGCAGTACTTGAACCCAAGTCAGTCTCACTCCGGAACGACTAAACTCAACTGTCAACTGGCCTCGGGTCTTCATTCTACTGGAATTTATGGAGTGTTTGATAAAACCTGCCTGCATAGAGCACTGTGGAGTTCACAAAGCAATTTCAAGTACATTTCTTCATTTCATACGCACAAAAGCCTGTGAAGTAGGTCAAGTATTAATATCGCCTGCTTTTACAAGGAAAATGTAATTACAGGAGGAAACGAAGGCCGGGAGCAGACCAGCGTCTATCTGGTTCAGGATTATACAGCTAGTAGGTGGCAGAGCCCACCTGGCCTCTGAGCCTACACTGCCTCACTGGCTCTACAGGCTCCTCAGGGCCATAGTTAGGATGCAGCCAGTATAGACTCTGCCTGACCAGCTGCCCGCTGCCAGAGAGGTGAGCTGCACATAGGAGACTCAGTTCTAGAATAATCTTAGGCAGAGTGTGGCCCAAATATGCTGGTGGGACCAGTACATGCTCCCATGCTGAGGCCACATAAGGAGTCGGGGCGGAGCGGGAGCGGGCAGCCCCAGGAAGGGTTACACAGAGAAGAGATACCTTGCCCTGGGCCTTGGGAAAGGGGGACTTACTTTGCTATAGACTGGGTGGTGAGATAGAAGAAGGAGGCTCTAGCAACCAGGATTTGGGGGATGAGTATGTATAAGGGAGGGCCCCAAAGGGCCGTCTGGGCCACCCAGGTGCCCATAGCACAAGCCCATCCTCCATCCTGGGCCCTCCCAGCCCCTGGCCACATTTGAGGGGACCCGGCCACCATGCCAATTGCCGCGATTAGAAGAGCAAAAACAAGCCAGGTGTTCCCAGGAAATGGTCTAATTAGCACTTACTGCTGACGATTTCTTTTTTTTTTTTCTCTCTTTTCTGTTTTAAACCCTGGACATTTTTTATTCGCTAATCATCTCTCAGTTCAACCAGCGCAGAGCCGCACGAGATTTACCTTTTGATGTTCACAGAAGAGAACTCTTGAATTTCAAAGAGCTGGAAGGGATGGGGAGAGCCGAATGCAGAAGCTATAGCCGTAATCAAACCTCATTAGAGGTTATTCTTCCAGCGGGTTTTCTGCTCTCTCCTGCCTCCCTCCCTGATTACAGGGATGGTGGCTGTGTGTGTGTGTTTCCTTTGGGACTATGGTGGCGGACGGCCCCCTCCCACATCCCGCTGTGGAGGCTGGAGTCTTCTTCCCCTCCCTGACCCCAGCTCCCAGCAGGCAGTGACTGTGGGGTCTGGTTTTATGTTGGGGCTCCTCTCTCTACTGTACAGTAGTTGCTATGGTGAGAATTAAGGCTTCATAAATATGGTAACTCCAGGCAAAGATCCCCTCCAGGGGAGTCTGCAAGGAGAGGGGGGCTCAGCACCTCTGCCAGCACCCAGCCAGAACCCCCTCTCCAAAGTACCTGGGGCTCTGGCCATCCCACAGTGGCTGCTGCTGTTTGGGGGGTTTCAGGAGAAGTGGGATCCAGCCATCTTTGTTAGGTGTGGGACCCAGAGTTAACAGTGAAATCCGATCCTTGGTCCTGGGTAGAGGCCCTTGGCACAGGAGGGGCAACTGAACTCTATCCAATTCAAAAATCACAAATGATGCCAGAATAGTAATAATTGCTATCATTTACCAGCACTGAGTGCCAAATACCATGCTTCATACTTTATATGAAGTTTCTCCTTTAATTTTCTCAATAGCACTGTGGAGTAGGTATTCCTATTATTAGCCCTGTTTTACAGATGGGATACTTTGCTGCACAGACCTGTACAGTAACTTGCCCAAGATTACACAGCTTAGAGAGAGTAACTACTGCACCACAAGCTTCTGTAGGCTAGAACTCGCTCTCCTCTGTTCACCATCATGCCCCAGCCCCGGTGCCAGCACACAGCAGGTGTGCCTTGTATATCTCTCACGGAGTGGCAAAGGGCCAAAGTGTGCTGGCCTCTGGCAAGATGGAGAGCAGTGGACAAGGATCCTGCCATGAGATATTATCTCCTAGCGGGAACAATAGGCAGGTGAGATGCAAAACCAACCTTCAGGTTCAGGAAGTGAGAAAAGCCAAGGATCAGATACAAACTGCTGAGGGATCCCAGAGGGGGAAGTAATTAATTCTCACTAAGTGGGGTGGAAAGCTGTTAGAGAGGAAGTGACATTCGAACTGGCCCTGTGGGCAGCATGGGGTGTTTCCAGCAGTGGCAGCAGCAGGAGAAAGGCTGCGGGTTAAGAATGAGCAGAACATCTTCAGACAGCGGCATGGGGGGGGGGCACGTTTCAGGGCCTGGGTGGGCAGGTTCACACAGCTAAGGCCTTGTGAGCATGCTGGGGTCAGGTGATTGGAATGTAGACTTTGGGGAGCCATTGGGGCATGTCAACTAATTTATTTGCATTAGTGAGGAAAGTCACGCTATCAGATCTGGGCATCAGAAAGCTCACTCTGGAAGCCACAGGGAAGGCAGCCTACAAGAGGCTGGGCAGGTCAAGGCTATTGTAGTTAAATAGACACAGAGGTTGAATCAGGGCACAGGTGTCAGAGGTGTAAGTGGTTGGAGTGACACTTCAAATAACACCAGCCAGCGTTGTTCACCGATTTGCTGCAGAGTTCCAGGGAGCTGGTGTAGGTGTGTGGTGGTGGCATTCACTGAGACACAGAAGGCAGAATTGTACCCTGCTGGCTCATAGATGGGCAATGGGACTGTGGGACTGTACAAGCCCTGTGGTGGCTCTGAGTTTGCACTTCTCAAATGCAATGGTGTCTTGTTAAAACTCCGGTTAACACATACATTTTGCCACTGGAAGCCATAATGAGTTTTTTCTCTTTCCATCTCACAGCGTATTAAACCGCACCCCTATGCATCTGATCCAGGAAATCATATTAGTGGATGACTTCAGCAATGACCGTAAGTAACGTCACCATTTAGGCACTCTGTGTGACAGGCAGAGGTGAGCATGCTGGCTTCCTGGGGATGGGCAAAGGCCTGGTCTGTAACAGGTGTGGAAGACTTTGTCCATGGCTGGGCTCAAGGAGAGAAACTTTATTTTAAACAATAATCCTGGGTTCTTTGCTGTGAGTCTTTGAAGACATAATGCATTAAAGTTTGCAGATTCTTGATGTGGTTGGTATGTGAGTATATGTGTGGCTGCAGGCACACTGGTGCAAGTACGTACGGGTATGTGCGGCATGCACATGAACTGGTGTCATGGCCCCTTAACCTGCATTCCTGGTCATGGAATGAAGTCATGATCCTGGTTATTGCTGAAGTCATGACGCCGAACCTTCAAAGGTTCACACTGGGACCAGAGCCCAGAATAGTGCCCATCACTAGAGATTCCTCGCTTTATGCAGCAATAATCTTCAGTATGAGCTGAGGCTAACAGGCCCACTCTCCGCCATTCCCGGGGAGGTCCATGTGGACCCTATCTTTAGGATCCCCCGGCCAGGTGACCTCTGATCCCCTGGCCCTGACATAGCACATGACCCCCTCTCACCTCCCAACATACTTTCATCACCATCTCCTATGTTCTCCAGTCATGAGGGTTGGAAAGCTGTTACAGAGCAAGTGACCTGTGAACTGGCCCTTGTGGGCAGCATGTGGTGTTTCCAGCGGTGACAGCAGGGAGCCTGGGTCTCATGCTGATTCACACCCAGATCCATTCTCCAGAGGAGACGTGGACCTCCCCGGGAATGGGAGTGTTCGGCATCTGAGTGTTAAATCTGAAAGGTGTGATGATGGGAGAACAATGTCAGAATTCAAGTATGGGTAATGCTGACGTCTGCAGCCTGGGTACAGTTTTATGTGATTACAGATCAGCTGTATCCAGACAGGACAGCCTTGTCCTAATGATAAACTAGGGGAAACAGGGCGGCCACTGGAGAGAGCTGTAAGTCCCAGCAGAGTGGAGCCCATATCCGTCAGCACTATGCTTGAAGCTGGGTACAGGGAGCCGTTGCCATGAGGGTTCTGCTGTATTGAGTGGGCCCCCCCAACCCATTGGCACAGACTCAAAACCTCCAGGAGTGACACAGAAGTGGGCTGTGCAGGAGCCCCAGAGAAATAAGGTCAGCTCTCAGTTCTGGGACTCAGTGATCTGCTCTCCCTTTCCTGGTGAGGAGGAGCTTGAAGGTCAGGAGACGTTTGCCATGGTGGTGGATAGTCTGGCACTGAGGCAGGAGAAGGGAGAGCTGCTAGATTCACTTGGGAGCAGAACAACCTAGTGGTTTTTGGTGGACAAAATGGCTGGAGCCAGACAGCCTGGGTTCCTGTCCTGGCCTGTGACTTAATTACTGGCCATGTGCCTCAAACAAATTATCCGCCTCACGTGCGTTAGTTTCCATGTCTGTAAAAAGGATTTGTTAATAGTATATGATTTACTTAAGGATTAAAGGTATCAATATGTGGTTTGCTGGAATAACCTTGACCAGGCTGCCTTCCCTGCGGCCTCCGAGGGAGCTTTCTGAGGCACAGATCTGATAGCGTATCCCCCCTCGATAATGCAAATAAGGTGATGCCAAAATGATGGTGTCAAAGTATGGAGTTCAGAGCCAGGGACTGGTGAGCCAAGGAACTGAGGGGACAGCAGGCAAGCCAGCTGGCATCTGGGACAAATGCCAGAGCAGGGTTTCTTACCCACCCCGGCCCCAGCATATCTCCCTGCGTGGTAGACAAGTGAACCATCTCTGAGTAGGGGCATGTGCTGGGCTGATCCCTGCTCTGAAAGGAAGGTCTGAAATCCATTTCAACCCTTCATGGCCTCCCAGCAGTTTTTACCGGACCCAGCAGGGTGACCAGGACTCAGATCTCATGCTTTGAATGGCCTATTAATTTGTCTCCCTGACTTCCACCTGGAATATTTTCAGGCAAGTGCACAGGTGCCACTGTGTGCTGACCTCCAGAGAAGTCCACCTTGTCCAATGACAGCAGTGACCCCTCAGCCCCTCCGCAGCCTGGGAACACCATGCAGTCAGGACCTGGCACTGCAGTTGCTGGTGGGGACAGTGGGTGGGGCTGCCTTACCCCCCTTTAAGGTTCACCTGGAGAGCACAGTTGCATCATGCAGGCCAGTCCCAGACACTCACATGCATAACCTTTTGTCTTCGTAGCTGATGACTGCAAACAGCTCATCAAGTTGCCCAAAGTGAAATGCTTACGCAACAATGAGCGGCAAGGTAGGCCTCAGGGGTGATTAGTGTGGGTGTGGGGCGTGGGCGTGTGTGTGAGTTTGGGTGCTCCAGGTGAATGCTGGGGGGCTCCTCCCTGGTCATTTGTCTCTGGCCGCAGGTCTGGTCCGGTCCCGGATTCGGGGTGCTGACGTTGCCCAGGGGACCACTCTGACTTTCCTCGACAGCCACTGTGAGGTGAACAGGGACTGGCTCCAGCCGCTGCTGCACCGTATCAAAGAGGTGAGTGGGGCTGCGGGTGGAGCTGGGGCTCCGGCCCTGGGTGTCTGCAGGCCTTCTCAAGCACATCAGCTCACACATGCCCCCCAGTTGGTCTGAGAGGTGGGCGGGACAGACTCCCATCCTCATTGTAAGGGTGAAGGTGGAGCAGCCTGCCAGAGGTCACACAGCAGCCCACGGCAGACAAGGACCAGGACATGTGACCAGCACTGTCTCCACCACAGGCCTGCACTGGGGGCTGCTGGCAGCTGTTACACGACACATGTAGCTTCATGGGCAAGAGAACTGCCCAGAACCGTTTATATTGGCGAGCAGCAGGCTCCAGGAAGGAAGCCCTTATGAGTGCCTCTAGGAAGGAGCCCGCAGCCTCAACCAGGCTTCAACCCCCGTTCTGGAGGCCTCTGTCTTACTTTCCCCCAGCACTCATCACCCTCACCCAAAGGCTGCACCAGGCAGGTAGGCTGGATACTCAGAGACCCAAGTGCCTCACCTCTGCCCACAAATCACTCTGGAATTCTGTGTGCATCTTTTCTTTATGTCCCAGTTACACCTCTAGAAAGTAACCCCTGGATTTACTTTTTCCCATCATTACATTATTTTCTGAAAAAGCCACCCACCCCCTGCTGATCTAAGGAATGTGTGGCCCCTATCTTGCCCATTACTCTTCCCCAGTTACTGATGCACACCGCTGTTCTCTAAATTAGGGGGTCAGGTATTTTAACATACCCATTTCACAGATGGGGATGCAGTCTCGGGCAATTGCATAACTTGGTGTGATATTCTTTAGCTGGTGCTGCCAGGACCTTCCCTGTGCTGTGGTTATTTCCTACTCACTCTTCGTAGGAGCTACTCGACTCCTTGCATAACTCTACAGTGTTGAGGGGAGGGAAGAATCAAGCCACATAAACTGCTCAGAAGAGAACTAGGAAATCCTTACTAATGCCATTCTTTCCACTAAGAGAGCCTCGGCAGGTTTACAGTTCCCACACTTGGGCAGAGATGTTCAGTCTCCTTGGTAAGGTCCTGAGGATGGGAGGGCTCCTCCACTTTGGGTTATTTAGGAAAATCCCCTCTCTGCCTCCAGCAAAGAGGTCTGGATTGAGAAATACTAAGCATGAAGGGATGGTTCGGTTGAAGGGCTTTGCCTGGCACTGAAGGCCCTCCCAAGTGTGCCCCTCCTTCTGTGCTCCTGTCTACAGTGGCAGCAAGGCTAGGCCACTGCTTGTCCTTGAACGTGCCTCCGACGTCCCCAACGTCCCCACTGTTCCTGCTCTGACCAGGCCCTTCCTTTCCTGGATGCCTTCTTTTCAGCTCCACAAGCCTATTCCCTTCAACCCTCGTCTGTGCTCCTCTAGGAAGCCTGTTCTGACTGTGTGGCCAGCAGGGATCACTCCTGGGAATACTTGTCCCCTGGGTCCAAGGGGTTTAGTTCTCTGTCTCCCCTAATAGATTACAAATCCAGTGGGGGTCCTGATACCTCCTTGGGCTGGCCTGCCTCTCATCAACGAGTGTTTGGAATGTCAGTAAGAGGCAAATGACATGGGGAGGTGGTAAGGTCGGACTAGGAGGAAAGCACCCTCACTCCCTGCTCCTAAATTAACTAACAGACACGTACTGAGCAACTATTTCCACCTGAGGGTGGAAAAGGCTGTAAAAGGGATCCACACCCTGCTCCATGCTTAGTAAGACCCAGCAAGTGCCTGTGTACTGGTGCCACCCTGGTGTGCAAACAAGCTCCAGCAAAGGGGAAGCACAGTAAGTGACCACAGGTAGAAGCCATAAGAAAACTCGCATAATAAGGACATTCTTTGAGAGAAATACAGAGAACAAGTGGGCACCTCTTATGTAACCACTCCCCAGTAGGAACCTTTACGGCCCAGGAGTTGCTGGCACCACCCTAGGGACAGCTGAATCATTCTGCTGCCATTCTCCCCTGGGGTTAAAGGAAACTACAGTTCATTTAGCAACAGCTAAGGGTTAAGGATGTAGAATGGGAACTAACATTTGGAGCCTAGGAATGCTTAGCAGGGGAGAGGGAGGGGGTTGGAGACAGCGGCTCTGTCTGTAGGGGATTTTGTAAGGAAGAGCCAAGGTGTTCCCTACCTACACTAAAGTCATACGGGGGTATTAAAAAAGAGGATTTGAAACCCAGGAATGTAATGTAATGGAAAACTTCCTGGCAGGGGACAGAGGAGGCTGGGACCTCTCATTTTCCATTACAAAAGTGATCCATGGTCATGTAGACATCTGGAAAATAAAGACCTGTAGAATAAAAAAAGTAATCAAAATTCTACCATTTAAAGACCTCCACTGTTAACATTTCTTTGCATTGAGGATCTTTTTCCATTTGCAGAAAGTGTCTTTTTTACATAGTTGTAATCACACTGTATTTATATAATTTTGTATTCTGTTTTTTCCTCTTAATGTTATACATACACATTTTCTAAGCAGTGTTTCTAAGGTAACTTGCCCCTCGCCCAGAATCATGGATGTGTTGTAGTGTAAATAGTCACGACGCTGTCTCCAAGAAAGGAATGAAGGACTGCAGTCAGGGCAGGCCCAGGGCCCACCCAGCAATGCCACCCCTTTTCATGCTGCCTCACTCCCACCACCCCCACCCAGGTTGCTGGCCAGTACCCTGGAACTCAAGTTCTGGGCACTCCCTATCACTCTGTGATTGGGCTGCTGGGCCAGGGAGTGGTCAGGGCTCAACTTGACCACCGGAGCTCTCTGCCTAGAGCTATGCCCAGACCTCTCTAGGTACAACCATGACAGTGGTACACTAGTCCCCAAGGCCTCTGCCCCTAGACTGGCTTTTTATGAGTGTATGTGTGTTCTGTTATAAAATATATACAACAAAATTTACCATTTTAACCATTTGTAAGTGGGCAATTCAATGATTGTGGTATGTTCACGGGGTTGTGTAATCCTTATCACAACATAATTTTAAGCCATTTTCTTCACTCTGAAAGGAAACCTCATACACATTAGCAGTTTCTCCTCATTCTCCTCCTCTCTCTGCCTCTGGCCACCACTCCTCTGCCCTCTGTCTCTATGGATTTGCCTGTTCTGGACCCTTAATGTAAATGGAATGATATAACGTGACTTTGGGACCCTGGCTTATTTTAGCATATTTGTACAGCATGTATCAGCGTTCCTCTTTCTGGCTGAGTAATACTCCATGGTAAGTATGTACCACATTTTGTTCACCAGTCATCTGCTAATGAGCATTTGAGTTCTTTCTACCTTTTCACTATTGTGGATAGTGCTGCCAGAAACATTTTTGTGTACAAGGGTTTTTTTTGTTGTTGTTGCTGAGTAGTTATTTCCAATTCTTTAGAGTATATATGGAGGAACTGAATCACTGGGTCATATGGTAATTTTATGTTTGATCCATGGAAGCCTCCATGCTGATTTTGTCCTTACAGAATGCGTTAAGGCAGCCTTGCTTTCCTTGGGAACTTGCAAAGCCCTCTCCATCCCAGTGGCTCTGAGTCCATCTCAGAAGCACTCTCTGAGAAATGTTCTCGTTTTTGCCTCTATGGCCAGCCCCACCTACTGGTCAATTGGACGGTCTTCAGCTCCTTTAATGACTGCCAGCTGCCAGACACATCTCAGGGAATCATGCAGCCCCAAGATTAAGCCTCCCAAGCTAAGTAAGTTGGTCATTGCCTGAGCTAAAGCTTTCATAGCAAAGAGGTGAAACAAACCCCAGAGCCATGGTCCAGCTCTGCTCCCCAAAGGACTATAGTGGCCTCATGGGCTGTAGAGAGTTTAGTTAAGACCCTGACACTTTTCTTTCTTTTTTTTTAAACAATCTCATTCTATCACCCTGGGTAGAGTGCCATGGCATCATCATAGCTCACAGCAACCTCAAACTCTTGGGCTCAAGAGATCTTCTTGCTTCAGCTTCCCCAGTAGCTGGGACTACAGGTGTCCACTACCACACCTGGCTAGTTTTCCTATTTTTAGTAGAGACAGGGTCTTGCTCTCGCTCAGGCTGGTCTCGAACTCTTGAGCTCAAGCAATCTACTGCATCAGCCTCCCAGAGTGTTAGGATTACAGGCATCAGCCACCCTACCTGGCCCTCCAAACAGGCCTGGAGGGAGGGGAAGGGAAGGAGCATGTGACTCTTTTAATGACCTCAAACAGTTCCTCTGGAACAGCCCTTTGGGGATAGGGAGTGTGGGCATGTGTCAGCCTTTGTATGTCTTGTTAGAGTAGAACATGATTTGATCTTGTGAGTGGAAGTAGACATTTTAAGCTGTAATTGGAGTTTGGGATTTTCAAAAATAGAAAAGAGATAAGGAAGAGGCCGGGCTGGAGCTGTCAGGAGCTGTACTCCGCTGGTGTTTTCCACATTGAGTCCCCTCCCCCAATTTTCCTTTTCTTTCTTTCAGTTACAGGAAGACACTTGAAACGAGCACCAGGTTGGGTGTGTTTTTTTTTTTTCAACATAGGCTTCTCTTTTCCCCTCCTATGTATGTATTTCTCTAGTTGGAGAAAAGATTTTAAGAAATCCCAATCCCTGTAGCATGTGGCAAATTTGTATGAATAATAGCGTACATATTCTTCCGAGACTGCTCACCTGCTGTCTTGTCTGTCTCCTCACATTAGCCCTATGAGAGAGGTCAGGAAGTCTTATAAATAACAATCTGTCTTCACCTTACAGATGAATAGAGTCCCACAGAGTGTGCGGATTGGTGTAAGGTCGCACGTATTGTAGATGGCAGAACCAGAACAGGAACCCCGTGTCCTGTCCACTTTTCCCTGGCTCCCCTTTCCTCCGGGCCAGTTTAGAGGCCCAGGCTGCATGTCTGCATCTGCATCAGAATCACCTCCCCTGTCCTCACCTTCCCTGGACTGGAAGTCTTATTCCTCTTTGTCCCTGCCATGACTACACCACAGCAGGTGCTCGGGGATGCTGGGTGACTCCAGGAATGAAGGTCTCGTGGAGCTTTCTGATTGCCTATTCCTGGTGGGATTTTAATTACATGAGTCAGTGGAGAGATCAGAGGCGCAGCAGCAGGATGACAGTGTCCAGGGGCTGGTGCGTGCAGCCTCTGTTGTTGCTCCTGGGGAGGGCTGGATGGGGTGGGATGAGGGTAGGGGCTTCGATCTGTGGGGGGAGGAGAGAGCAGGGGCTGTGGTCCAATACCCACCAGGATTCTACCAGCTAAGCGTGGCCTTAGCTTTCAAGATACAACCTGCTTGGGTACAAGACAGGAGCTTCCCGGGGTCTGAGTATTTGTATTGGGAACGCCTCTATCCTCAAGCCTGCAGGAGGCAAGGCCATCTTGTTCAGCTGCAGCCTGCTGACTGGCAGCGCCCACCGTGTCCTCAGAGGGAGTTAATAGACATCCTCTTCAGGCCAGCACAGATTGAACAACTGCTGCCCACCAGGCACTCAGCTAGGGCTAAAGGATATATAAGGGGTGCTCAGAGAAGCCGTGCTTTGGCTTCTATGTCTCATTCTTAAAGCCCCCTGCAGCCCCTTGCAAGGTCTTGGCTCCATGCAACTGGGCCCCAGACATCCTCACTGCCTGTCTGGTCTCTGTGACTGTCAACTAGGCAGATGCTACAGCCACATTGTCACAGGTCAGAATCCTCAGAGCTTGCAAGGAAGCATACCAGAGCTGTCGCAGGCCTGGGGGCAAAAGCTGTGCACAGTTTCTGGGGTGTCTATGGCCAGAGTGAACAGCCCACATTCTAGTTTGCCTTGTGGTTTGCAGGTATTGGAGGAAGATTTCTTTTAAAGTCAAAACAAAACAGGATTGCAGTCCAGCGGTCCCCAGGACCACCCTTAGGTTTGATCATTTGCTTGAAGCTCTGAGAGCTCAGCAGAACTGTTATCATTATGGTTTATTACAGTGAAAGGACACAGATCAAAATCCATGGGGAGAGTCCCCGGCACGAGCCTGCACTTATCTCCTCCTGGTGTGTTGTATGGAGAGCACTTCCTTCTCCCACCAAGGCTGTAAGGCAACATGCATGGAGCATTACCAATCAGGAAAGCTTACCAGACCTTGGGATCTGAGTTTTTGTTGGGGGTCAGTCCCATAGACAATGCTGACCACCCTACTGGTCTCCAGGCCTCTCCAGAAGTCAAACTGAGTGAGCACTGCGTGGACCAAGGCCCTCACCGTAAATTATGTTGTTCACATAGACTGTCTAGGGGTGGCCCACAGCTCCCAGGGAAACAAAGACACTCTTCTAGGGTTGAGAGGTTATTTCCCAGCAAAGGCCGAACATATCTTTCAGCTCAGTTAATCCTTTACTCTTAAGTGTCATAGAAGGACTCAGAACCCCTGCAGAGGCCTCAACACTCAAAGCAGAGGCAAAGGGAAGACTTTGTCAGACTTTCTAGAGAATGACCAAGAGCACCTGAGAACATTTTAGCATTCAAGGGACAGCTGTATACGTGTGTGTGAGGGTGTGTGCACAGGCGTTTGTGTGGGTGGTGGTGTTTGTGTGCCTGCAGTGTGTATCTACACACAGATGCACAATGACAGTGGCTCAAGAAGAGCCCAAGAGGAAGCCTGGCAGCTGGGCAGGTGCACTGCCGACTGTGAATGAGCGTCTGCGACATCCCAGAGCTAGAAGCAATGCATAGAAAATGAGCCTTCCTTTCCACATGGGCCAACTGGTTTTCAGAGGCACTTTGTTACTGTCAGAATGAGTCACATGTGGGAGGCTGAGGGCCAAATTAAGTCTGTGAACTTAAAATCAGGCACTCAGTGAATCTGGAGCTTAAAATAAGGAGACAACCTCATTTGGGGGAAAGATTGAAGCAGGAAATTAAATGGCTTCAAGGAGAAACAAAGATTCCTGCCTGTCGGCCAAAAGGTGGTTGGTGCAGAGGACTGGTTCCCAGAGGCCTGCTGGCTTTTCTGGCCCCGTCCCAGGCTGCCTGAGGCCATTTAGCTGTCCAGGAATCTCCATGTTCACAGCTCCTTGACACCATCCTGCAGGGGGAGGGGTGGGTGTAGTTTCCCCCACTGCACACCAAGCACAGGGGTACTCACCTGGAATTAGAAAACGTGAAAAATATGTGTACAATGCCTTGATGGCTCCCAAGAGCTGATGACTTGGACGTGCATGTTTTGAAAAGGTTGTCTGGATGATTTTTATGCCTGCAGGTGGGGTGGCATGGGGGAGGTAGGAAGTGATGAGGCTGGACAGCTAGAGGCAGGCCTGTTGTGATGATGGTCTTGGGTGTCAGACTAAGAGTTTGCATGTTATCTTAAAGGCAATTGACATTTTTTGCATTTGAGTAGCAGAGTCAAATTTATAAATTGGAAAGAGAACTTTGGTGCTCAAAAGTGAATGAAAGGAGAAGAGAAGGAGGTCGGTGGGGTTGGGTTTAGGAGTCTGTTGCACTCCTCAGGCATGAGGGCTGGAAGAGAGGCAGGATCGATTTGCAAGAGCGATTTCAGAGTTGCAGGGCTTGATCTGGTTGATGGGCCAAGAGAAGCTTCTCCATCTAATGCTGGGGGAAGGAGAGAAACAGGAATACTATGTTTATAGAAATAGGGAACTTACGGAGAGCAGCATTTGGGGGAGAAGAGGATGAAGCCACCATTCAAGGCTGGAGTGGAATTCACATGGAGGTGGCCAGTGGCTCAAAGATGTGATTCTAGAAATCGGAGGGTAAAGCAGGGCCTGGCACAGATTAGTGAGAATCTGCCTACAGGATGTCCAACCTGCAGCCCATGGGGCCTCATGCTGATTTGGTGGGGACTTTTTCTGCTTGTATGTAGTGTCATATATCACACAAAGCATGCGCAGACTTTTTTTGCTCATCAGCTTTCATTAGTGTTTGTGTATTTAATGTGTGGCCCAAGATAATTCTTCTTCCAATGTGTGGCAGAGAAAAAAAAAGGTTGGACACCACTGGCTGAAGTTGGCAGTCCCTGGAGATGCTGTCTGTCAACTTGTCAGTGAGCCACTGTCCTGGAATAAAACTGAGGGTTTCCCTGGGGGTGTATGGCTTTGCTCCTTAGGGCTGCAGGCTTGGGGCCATCTTCCCAGCCTGGGGCCCACAGCAGGGAGGACTTCCTGGTGTCCCCTCTTCAGTGCAGACTGTTCCCCAGCCAGCTTGTAGCATTCCCTGGCCCCTGTGGTGAAGAGGGCCCCAACAGGCAAGGAAAGGCCCTCGGCATTTTAGGCATCGGAACTGGAGAGGTCTCAGTGTCCAAGGTCCTGTTTTATAGATGATAAAATTGAGATTCAGAGATAAAGGGAGTGGTTGAGGTTGCAGAACCTGTCTCTGGCACCACCAGGGAGGCCTTCATTCTCCCCGACTCCCAGCAGGGGCCTCTCCTTAGGCTGAGAATGGCCTATTGTCTTCCAGGACTACACAAGGGTGGTGTGCCCTGTCATTGACATCATCAACCTGGACACCTTCACCTACATCGAGTCTGCCTCGGAGCTCCGAGGAGGTGAGTGGGGCTGATGCCGCCTCCCCAGCGGGGCAAGTGAGGGGAAACTCTTGGTGGCTAGTCTGGAACTCCCAGCCTGCCTCCTGCGATTTAATTCGCTCCAACTTGACTCTTACACCAGAACCGTGAATGGGAGGGTGGGACAGGATGCTCTTAGCTCCCAGAATCTTGGCTGTAAGACAGGGCTCACTCCAGAGCCCGCGAAAATGACAGGAGCAAGGATTCCCTGGCTATGTGGGGCCTGCATTGTTCTGCCCCTCAATCCTAGAGACTCGCCCCAGCTCTCTGTCCAGAGCCTTGAGCTCCCCCCACAATCAATGTTGAGGTGATTCAAGTAGTCTAGGGGCCTCTCACAAACCTGCTCGCACCTTCCAGAGACGCAGGGCCAAGGGCCACCTTCCTTGACTATGCATCCTGTTGTCCCTGGCCCTACCCTGGGCCCTTGATCCTCTGCCCTTTACTCCTGACCGTTCCCAGCCGAGAAGATGCAGAGAGGCAGCAGGAGGTAGAGAAGGAAGTGGGCTGGAAGAGGAGCTCTGGCAGCCGGGCTGCTGGTCAGCTCAGGTGAGACCTATATCCCAGGCCAGCTTCTCAGGGAAGCCACTTGCATTCACGCCCTTCTGGAGAAGCCCTGCGGTACCTCTGAGAGGCCAAATCAAGCGGGTCAGTGCTATGTTTCAGGGTTTGACTGGAGCCTCCATTTCCAATGGGAGCAGCTTTCACCAGAGCAGAAGGCTCGGCGCCTGGACCCCACGGAGCCCATTAGGTAAGTAGGAAGCATCAGTGCAAGGGTGAGTGGGCAGATCTGTCCCTCCTGGGTCCTTCCCTCTGTCATGTGGTATAGAAAGTCACTCCATACTGGACAGCAAAGGACTGGACAGAGTTGAAGAGAACCCTTTGCCAGGCCACCTCCACTTATACCCCTATTTTAGGAGGAGACTTCTAGCTAAGGGGTTGGTGACCTGGTGGAGACCCATGCTGAGAAGTGACATCCACCTTCACATGTGCCATGATGGACCTGTGCTTCCTGCTACCATGGGCAGGTTCTGTGTAGGCCTCTGGTGAGAGAAGGATGGGCCTCTGGGGCCAGGGGCAGAGAGCTGAGGTCTTGTCTGTCAGGATTAGGTCCAGGAAGGTGGAGTCAGCCACTGCTATAACTGGAGGTCAAAATCAAGGCACAGCCACTGCTGCAAATTAATAAGTACATCTGTCCCTTTTGTGTGAGAATATGACAGCAGGTGGCATGGACACCGGCTGCTTTGCTGAGCTGCAGGTGGCTTTGTCCTGACTTACATTCTCTCTTCCAGACCCTTTCCTTTCCAGGCACTTCTCTGACATCTCTCGCAGTCATCCAGGCAGGGGAGGCTGGGGTAGGGCCCCAAGAGGAGGAAACAAAGTTCTCTAGGGTGACCGTAATGACACACCACACAGGTGGCTTATGCAGCCAGCACACACATCTCATCTCTTGGTTCTGGAGGTCAGACTTCTGAAATTGGGTGTCTGAAATCCATTCTGGGCCTGTCTTCTTGGTCTAGAGGTGGCCGTCTCCTCCCTGTGTCTCCCTATATCGTCAGTGTGTGTCTCTGTGTCCAAATTTCCCCTTTTTAAAAGGACAGCCGCTATATTGGAGTAGTGCCCTCACTAATGACCTCATTTTAACTTGGTGGCCTCTGTAAAGACCCAATGTGTAAATAAGGCCACATTCTGATATACTGGGAGCTGAGAAGGGGGTACAATTCAATGTGTAGCACAGAGGCAAAAAGGGGAAGAGGAGAAAGACCCAGTTTCAGGAGCAAGATGTTCTGCCAGTGGGTACTGCCTCAGCCCTTCTCTCTGTCCTGTCAGTGGCCACCCTCCCTGCCCCCAGTAACAGCACCCAGGACAGCCGTGCTGGTCAGGACCCATGGCTTAGACTGGCAGAGGCTCCCAGGTCATCAGATCTGCTAGAGCCCTGAGTGAGAGCCTCACCCCACAGGAGGTGTGCTGATGAGTGAGTGGCCTGTCTGCAAGGTCAGGCAGTTTACAGTTAAAGGGGAAAGCCCTGGAGCTTGTTCTTGTTTTAGGTAACTAGAAAATGTATTGGTCCTTTTGAAGAGGAACAGATATGGGAAGAAAATGGCCTTGAGTTCCAGACTCCTGGGGCAGAAGAGTTTGAGAGCAATCTCTCTGCTATAACTGGTGCTTCTCTTTCTCTTCTAAATGTACAGGACTCCGATCATAGCTGGAGGGCTCTTTGTGATCGACAAAGCATGGTTTGATTATCTAGGGAAATATGACATGGACATGGACATCTGGGGTGGGGAGAACTTCGGTGAGTGCCTGCCCTATTCATCCTGAACTATATCATTCTATACGCCCTGGGGGCTGGAACAGGGATCTCTGAGTCCTTGAATCCAGCACCAAGCTGTTAGGGAGTCATGCATGCCTGGGAGGAGGGCCTGGAGATGGTGGGTGAGTTGCTCCTTTGGGGGAAGGCCAGTGGGGCACCACAGGAACAGTTGTTGGAGAGGGTGGTAACGAGGGAATTGCTCTGTGGGGCCACAAGGAAGCTAAGGGCCAGGGAAACACTCCCTGTGTTGGGGTGGAGACTGTTGGGGGACAGATGAGATGCCACAGCCAGGAAGACCAAAGAGGAGTGCCAAGTCCAAGGGGCTAGACGTGGGTTGCACTAGGAGCACTGCAGCTAGGAATTAGGAGTTGGAAGGAGACTGGAAAGAGAAGAGAATGAGGAACAGGAACAACAGTGACATCCCTTAATATCCGTTAATGTCCCTTGGCTGCTGTGAGTATGGCACTCAGCACTGGGTAATGAGGAGGGTCTGGCTTAACTACTACAGGACACTTTATTACTACAGTGTCTTTTAGTGGGAGAGAGGCTGGGTTGCAGGGCCCAAGACTTTGCAGATGGCCAGGTATGGCCATAGTGGTACAGGGCTGAGAAACAGCAGTCAGAAAGACGCATTCTATCTAGCTAGTGACACTTAAGTGACCCTAATTTCCCTTGTATATTAAAACTGTGACTACAGGATAATAATCCCACTTCTTTGGGTTGTTGTGAAAATCCCCTGAGTTAAGTGTGAGAATCCTGGCACACATGGGCATGGTAAATGTTAGTTTCCTCCCACAGGTGAGACTTGACAGGTAGCTGGAATAGAAGCTGCACAAGGACGTGAATTTGAGTCTGTTTCGTTCCTGGCTATCTGTGGTGCCCACTGTAGTGCCTGCCACATGTCAAGGCCTTTCCCTTCTCCGAGTGCAGGGACTCATGTTGGGCTGGGCTCTCCCGCCTGTGGCGCAGGCTGGGAGAGTGATCCACGGGCCGTCCTGGCATTTAGCAGGAATCCCGTGCACTGTCTGCTGTCATTGTTTTCCCCTGTTCTTGCCTCCAGAAAGTTTTATGGCTTTCTTCCTCAGTCACTAAGAGTTATTTCCTAGAAATTTATGGCTTCTGGCCTGACCCACGGCATCTGTTCTCCCAAACTGGGCAGTGTAGAGAAATGCATCAGCAATGTGGGTCTCCTGCCACACAGGGGCCAGACTGGAAGCTCAGCGAACAACAGACTAACATTCCATCACCCCAACCAAACCCAGCCCCTCCCTGGGACCTGGTCCATGAAAACCTTCTGGAACATGTTAGGGGGTCGTTGGTGTGGGATTTGAGGCCAGGTTTGCCTGCCCCAGCCCAGGAGCAGTTGAACCCAGGTAGACTCTTGGGGTTCTCAATGGAGTGGAGATTTCTCTCTTACTGGGCAGAGCCAGTTGTTAAGTCCTGACGACCCCGGTTCCTCTGAGCAATGTGTTCTGGAATTTCTTTTGCCCATCAAATGATTCCTCTCTACAGCACTTTTGGTAGACAGCAGCCATCCAATCTTTGCTCAAATGCTACTTATAATGATGTACTCACAGTTTCACAGTTTAGCACATTCTGTCGTAGAGAATTTTTTTGTTGGGCTGTTAGAAAATCTAAATCAAATCCTGGCTCCCCCCAGCTTCTGTCTGTCAGGTTCGTTCTGCTTTCCTGCACTGCACAAAGTGAGCATGATTCCTCTTCCACATGGCAGTCCCATTTGGATTCCGGCAGCGTGTTATTTTCAATGATGGCACGGTCTGGTCCATTTTGGTACTGGTGGCAGTACCTTTCCTTGCAGCAATGTTAACACATCTGCTCAAATCAAGTAGCAATCACATCTAGCAGGCTTCCAAGTCTTTTTGGCATTAACAAGGGCTGATTGGAATCGAGAAGTTGGGAAGGGTGCTGGGAAGTGTGGGAGAGACATTTACAATGCATCACGAAATTTTTTAAACCACAAAACAAGCGCTGCCAACAGCTATCACAGGAAACACTTCATTTTCCCCACCCCAACATTCCATTATGTTGTAGCCAGCTAACAGCCTTTCGAAAGCCATTTCTGGATGGATGGGGGTGTGTGCGTGTATTCGCATTGTATATGCCAGAAAACGCAGTGTTTTCCAATGGCGGCTGTGTCACGTGGGCAGCCTTGCATCTGCAGGTGGGGATGGCAAGGCCCTAAGACCCTGGAGGAGGATGCAAGAGAGGGTCCGGTGGGATTGAAGACGGAGATTTCAATGGAGTTTGTGAGTGATGCTCCAGCTGCAAAGGACAGATGGCGCTAAGGGGTGAGGGAAACTGCCCGGCTTCAGGGTGTGGCAGGAGGCGCTTCCTGTCCCCCAAGTCCTGAAGACCCACTGCCCTTAGCATCACTCACACCCATCCCCTCTCTCCGTCACTACCAACTGTCCTGAGTCGTTTCCCACCTCTGCTCTCCTACAGAATCTGACCTCCCACTCTCTTGCCCACATGCTCTTTCTGAAATGCAGATCTTCTCACCCCTCCCAGGCCTGGCATCTTCAGTGGCTTCCTCCTGTACAAAGAAGCAGGCCCTACTCATGCGTCCCTCCCATGGCCTTACCCCTCCTCTCTAGCTTCATCAGTCTCCTCCTACCTCCAGCCTCTAGTGCAGAGGTCCTGAACAGAACCACTCACACTTAGTATGCCCAACCCTCTACAATGACCCGGCCTCCCATCTCCACCTAAGGCTGACCACAGCAGATGTGGACTTCCTCCCATGGTGCAGTCCTGGGGCCACCTCCTCTACAAGGAGAACACCTGCACTACCCTCCCTCAGGCTATACCTCCAACATCGTGTTCCCTTGTCTGTCATTGCACTGAGCCCTCTTACACATCTGTCTGTCTATCTGTCTGTGCCTGCTGCCCAGCCTCCTACCAAACCTGGAACTCCTCAAAAGCAAGGCCATTCATCCACCTTCTTGTTCTTGAGGCCACAACAGTAGAAACTGCTCACTAAATGTGTGTTCAGAAATCCAAAAGCTGAATGGGAAGGGGTGAAAAGGACAACATGATACACTATATAAGGCACCCTTTAAAATAGGTCTCATTGCATTAACTGGAGTGCATGATTAAAAGTTCCCTTTAAACATGAGAACAATAACAGTAGTGGCAGAGACATATTGCCTTTCCAAAAAGTAGAATTTCTATGAATTCTAGATGTGTTCACGTATGTGGTATTGACTTTATGTCATAGCACAAAAATACATAGATTATTAGGGAAGGCTCCAGCCAAGATGACCTTGACCTGCTCCATCACATGCAGTTCCTGCCCTATCCCATCTTGGTTTTTATCTGTTAGACGCAGCCATGGTCGATGGCTCACATGCTCACACACATGGCCCTGGGGCCACCATTCCCACCAAATGCTTCTAAGGTGAGCTGAACACCTCTGATAATTGCATCAGCAGTTCAGAATGAGAGCATGTTTTAGAGACATGTGGCTTTTAGAATTTCTTTTTTTCAGAAGTTGATTTGCATTAAAATTGGATGTTTAAACTGCAATTTACATTACACAGGGAATGTGTAATATGTCTATTTCCTTAGAGCTGCATCTTACTTTTAGCTTTTGGTCTTTAGAGATAAAATGAATCTGTTGCCCAGGTATGAAGTGTGCGTGTGTGTGTGTGTGTGTGTGTGTGTCAGTGTGTGTAGGTGGCCTGGATGAGGGATGCACATTTCCAAAAAGGAAACCTTGGCACTTGCGTGAAGGGAAGTATGGGATTCCTGGATTAGAATGGGGGATTTCCAAAGCAAAGGAGGCACAAAAGACTGCTGAGAAGAGACAGATGAAGTAGGCCCAGAGAGGAACCACCACCACCCACCGCCTCCAGAATGTAGGCAGAGATGCCAGGCTATGCCAGCCTTGGCTCCCCTGTGCCCACGCACTTGCGCATGTGTTATATAAAGAACATGGGCAGATAGACCTAAGTTGGAATCTGGAAGTCATCACTAGGCATCCTTGGGAAAGTTCCTTCACTTCACTCAGCCTGTTTCTAGTTCTTTAAAGTGGAACCAATGATCCCCATGGGAGGGAGAAATAATGTCCTTCCTTCTTCCACCACCCCACCAAAGATGTCTACACTCTAATCCCTGAAACCTATCAGGATGTTACCTTACATGGCAGAAGGGATTTTGCAGGTGTGATTAAGGTCACTAATCAGTAGCCTAGAAGTAAGAGATTACCCTGACTTGTTAGGGCGGACCCGGTCTTATCACTTGAGCCCTTATAAACAGAGAACTTTGCCAGGCTGTGGGCAGAAGAGAAGGAGCAGAAGGAAAAGCCAGAGGGATTTGAAGCATGAGGGGAACTGACCAACCCCCAGTGCTGGAGGGGGCAACATGAAAGAGCTGAGAAGAGCCCCAGGTCAGTTGAGGAAAGGGAAACCTCAGTCCTGCAACCCCAGGAATTGAATTCTGTAAACAACCAAATGAGCCTGAAAGCAGGTTGTTTTTCAGAGACTCTAGATAGAGACATCCTGTTGACATCTGATTTCAGCCTGGAAGACCCTAAGCAGAGGGCCCAATCAAACCAGCCACTAAGTTTGTGATAATTTTTTATGGTAGCAATGGAAAACTCTCACTGTCCTTATATTGCAGTGCTGTTGTAAAGATCAATTAGATAATACCAGCCCCTTTGTTCCACCATGACACTAATCGGGATGGGCTGCCTGCCCCTTCAGGTTATGTGTGAGCAGCATTTGTTAAAGGAGGACTGTGTCTGACATTTTCCATGATTAGTGGCTCAGGATGAGGGAAACAGCCTCATCTGAGAACGGCATCCAAGTCTGATGAAAAGGCATCTTTTCCCCAGATGGAGAGTAAAGCTAATGCAGCCCAGTGCTCTGTTCCTTGTCTGGGCTCCTTTGCTGAAGCCCAGTGCCCAGGTGAGATCCCCTGAGGCCATCGTGTCCAGATGCTCCTGTGCTTCTCCAAGTGTCATCGAGTCATCTTCCCATCATAGGGGAGATGGGATGATAAAGGGTGTCACCTTGGCATTTGCAGTCACATGGCCATTGGTGACCATGATGTGGCTGTGGTTAATACTTGTCTAGAATAGGGGGCCTGAGTGGAGCCTCGATTGTCTCAGAGGTGAGTGAAGTGCATAGGCGAGGATGTGTTTTACGGGCTGATAATGTTACCTCTGCTCAAGTCATTAAAGAATAACAGAGTTTGCCTTGGCCCAGTAGCCCCTGGGAATGTAAAGATTACCCAGAGGTAAGGTCCTGTCCCACAAATATGTGTGAATTTATGACACTAGCCGTGTGAGTGTCTGCCTCTCTGCCCACTGCCATCCTCTCTAATCCCTTAAACTTGGGCAAAGGTAGAACAGAGAATGTTGCTGTGTATACAGTGTACACACATATACATTTCTGAGGCTCCATTTAAAACACAGCCCATCCCAGTAAGTGGTACCCACAGACACTGGGTCTCTGCCTTTGCTTAGAAACCAGGCTATACAGTGAAGCTAGAACCTTGACCAATATGGACAAGCAGTGTCATCTGAACACCATGGCTTGTTTCTTGGAGAGAAAGCTGTCCCTTCTCCAAATTTCTGTCCACTCCTCATGGGCTGGCCAGGCAAATGTTGGTTCTGGTGAAGGGTCAGGGCCCTGGAGGGTGGTAAGAACTGATAAGTTGATAAAGAGATAGAATGAAAGAAGTGGGAATGGGAGGCGGGAGGGCAATTTGCTCTCATATTAACCTAATGCTTAAAGAATGTGAAATGAGAACAGTGCCCCCAGCGAGGATGGAATAATTACACATCTCCCTGCCTGGAATTCAAAATAGCTTTGGGTCTGTACAAGGTGACGATCATTGCTCAGGGGATTGTGCAGGTGCTGACTCAGTGAGCACCCCCTGGGAACTCCCTAGGCAAAATCTTGTTGCTCCCTCCTCTGTCACTTCAGAGATGGTCCCTGAAGGAGCTGCAGCCTTGGGGAGCAGAGGCTCTGCCTGCTCTACCCTGCCTTGGGCCGCCTCGGTCCTCAGCACTTCCCAGACCACCTGTGCAAGGTCCCCTTCCTGGGGCCTCAGGATTAGTAGACTTGCCCAAAGTCTACCTTCAGCAGGTAGCTACGGGCCACCAGGCCTGGCTCATAGTCCCAGGAGGATACACATCATTATCCCGAAGTCACTGCTGTAGATAAGGGAGCAGCAGCAGTGTGTCCTGGGTGTTAAATATTCCACACTGGAGAACCCATAAATCATGACACTAATCTGGAAACTCCAAGCTGCATCCCTCAGTTTGTCTCTTGACTTTGGCAGCAGCACAGTGATCTGTGCCAGCCACGTGCCCCTGATAATTTCAGGTACCACAATCTGGACTCTGCAGCAGAGAAACTCTGAGCTCATCTCAGGCTGCACGTTCCACTGGGCAGCAGTAGCAGCCAGACTTAAAGACAGCCTGAGACAGACCTTGTTCAGGACTCAGTCACTGAGTTGATAAGGGGGGATTGTGGCAGCTAGTTAGACGCTGGTCACTCTTGCTTGTGAGTATCTTGAAGTCAGAATCTTTGTATCCACTGCTGTGTTGGCCAGTGGTAGATGTTCACTATTGGGGCAGGGCCGTGTCAGGGAAAAAGCACAGATTCTGGAGTTGGGGAGATTCCCAGCTAGTAGCTGTTGGTTGTCCCATCAGAGCTGCTTCTGCATCACCAAATAAGAACATCAGTCACTACTGAGCACTAAGCAGCAGCCTTGGAGGAGGAAGCTAAACAAAGCCTGGCCCAGAAGTCAACAAAAGGGTCATTTTCCTCCCACGACTGACATTTGAAGAATAGTGATGCTTTCAATTTTTGCACCAGGGCAATAGACACAGGAAAATGAGGAGGAAGGTTGGGCTGGCTTTAGGGAGGCAGAGAGGATGCAGGGATGCAGAGGGCTGTGGGGAGGCCCTGACGGTGTGGAGATGTCTTGGGTGTGATGCTGCCCCATGTATCTCAATAGCAGCCTCAGCAGGTCATGGGAAATGGGGGCTGGAGAGATGGAGGGGAGTCCTCAGCATCCAGTGCCTTCTGGGAGCAGATAGGGAAGCAGAGTCAAGAAGATGCTGGAAGGCAGAGCCTTGAGGGGATGCCGGAGAATGTGGGGAGACCAGAAGAAAGTGGAGAAGAGTAGGGCTGGGTGACGATGCAGTCTAAGGAGTGTCCCTGTGCATGACTGAGGCTGAGGCAGAGGGAAGCTTCAGAGAGAAAGTTCTGGGTGAAGGGAGAAAAGCAGTGGGTGGGGCATAGGGATGGGGGCAACATGGTCCAGGCATAGGGTGGAGGGATTTGCTTTGCAAATGCACAGGGACATATGTCTCATTTGAATACATGGAAAGGAAGAGGCTGTCACTGAAACGCATGCATAGCTTTAGGGAGAAAGCTGGCACAAAACCTGCGGGTTATATCTAGTAGGCAACGACTCCGTCTCTAGTGATGTGAGATTAGAAGGTTTTCCTTTTTGGGAACTAGAGCAGACCCTGTTTAGAGTCCCTGGGGAGGAGCTGATTGGCACCAACATGTTCAGGAAGACGTCCTAAGACTCAAGATTCACATGTGCTGACACGGCTCCACTGTGGGCCCCTCTGCCCCGCGGTGTGCTCGCTGCGAGGTACAGTGTGGGTGCTGGGCACGCCCCAGGCTACTGGCACTCCATGCAAACGGTGCCCCAGCCAGGTGCCAACTCCATGCCATGGAACTTCGTGGGGAGCTCGTGGGGAGTCAAAGTTTCAAATGTGACCTCCATGAATTTCAAGTGTCCCCTGCAGTGTGGCAGAAGGCAGGAAAAGGCTGTAAATCATCTGAGACATGAGAAGTGGGCAGATGTGGGCGCCACACATCAGTGTCCACGTTTTAGAGATGCTGGCTTCAGAGGCATCTCAGAATCACCACTTCCGTTCTTCCAGTCACACTTAGTTTTATACAGGTATTCTCAAAATTCTTCATCCGATGCCGACAGCAGCCCTGCCAAGGATTTTTCTGATCTTTGTTTAGTATACGAAGAAATGAGTCCTCAACAAGCTCAAGCAGGTTTCCCAGGGACACAGCCGGTGGTTACTGCCGGCCCCAGAGCTGAGCTCTCTTGGTTTCCTTCCCCCCACATTCTTGCCATCATTCAGTAGCCGTGGTCAGAAGTCCTTTCTTTGTCGCAGAGGCCACACTGCCCCCATGCTGAGGGAAATCCGGGCTTCCCAGGAATTAGCAGCAGCAGACAGGTGTGGGAAGGTGGCAGAGTAGGGATGATAGGAAGTGGCCTCATGTACATCCCTGTGGCCTTTCCAAAGAGACTGGGAGTGGGCAGCAGCTAAGGTGGCTGGGGACAGGTGGGGGAGGGCAGGTGAGGATCAGGACGCAAGCTGGAATGAAAAGAGAACGCGTAGTAGTGGTAGTAGTAGAAGGGAGGGAAGAGCAGGTGAGAGAGAGGACCCGCTGGGGAGAAGAAACCCATCCAGAGAGGCTGTGAGGTGGGGCCCAGGGTGCTAGAGGGTGCAGGGCACTCATGATGGGAAGGCCCTGGCATAGCCACATCCTGGGTCCCAGGCCAGGGACTTGGCCCGCATCCACATGAAATTTTACGGCCTCCCCTGCATGGACTTTTCATGAGCAAGCCTTCCTTCTTCATGCTTGGACTTGCTGTGGGAGCATGGACCAGGCAGGAACTCCTACAGATTGGAAGCTGCCTTTTCTACCAGTGCCATACTCGGGGCAGGGGGTTGGGGGCCACCTGCCCTGGATGCAGTTAGGTTGTGCACTAATAACACCGTCTGACGGTCTGTCTGCTTCCTAAGGTCACTGCGCCCTGGCGATTCTAACCCTGGGCCCCCACCTCCCTTAGTGGGAGGAAGCGTGCTTCCACCCTGCTGGTGTGCTCCCGGGGGGAAATGCTCGTCACAGCTGCCTCTGCTAACTCCACCTGCCCACCTCTCTGAGGGCCCACAGCAGCCAACCCTGAAGAAGTGGGTGTAGTGCGAACCCAGGGGGCACCCCCAATAACAGCTCAGCGGCTCCCAGCATTTTCTACAGTCACGTTCGGCTCTTGCTTTCTGCTCTCAGCCCTCCTCCTCCCAGGCTGCAACTGAGGTAGTTCTGACCCAGCGGTAGAACTGCAGTCTTGGTGCAGAATGACCTTTGGTGGCTGCCTTGTCCAGATGCCTTCTGGACACTCCGTCAGCTCTGCGGCATCCTTGCCATGTGGTTCGCTAGTCTGCCCCGGGTGTTCTCATGATAGTCCTCTAGGCCCTGATAGCTACAATATCCTCCTGTTTTCTCAAATGAAAATTTTCTCTTCAATACTGATTCTAACCCTGTGGGATCACCAGGGATTGTGGTTAATCCACCTTCCAAAATGAAACTTTCCATATGTTCAAAAGCAACTTTCTTTCTTTTTTTTTTTTTTTTGCAGTTTTTGGCCGGGGCCAGGTTTGAGCCCATCACCTCCAGTATATGGGGCCTGCACCCTACTCCTTTGAGCCACAGGCACTGCCCTCAAAAGCAATTTTCTTGGTGCCCCCAGGCCTCCTCCTTTCTGGGCTACAATCCTAGCAGAACCTCCACTCCAACTATGCTGGGCACTGAATGTGTTCCAGGGTCTACCGTGCCCAACACTGTTTCTGTCTGTTACCTTACATTCCCCTCTGATGTGTTAGGACCATCCCTGTTTACAGAAGGGGAAACTGAGGCTGCCCAACCAGTGGCGCTCTCAGTCTGGCTGCAGTGTCTGTTCTCACCCACCATGCTCAAGCTAGGTGAAAGGGACTCCCCAGCACTGGGGGCCTCCAACCCAGAGGGGCAATGAGAGGAGGTAACAGAGAGTGACTGTCTTGCAGAAATCTCCTTCCGCGTATGGATGTGTGGGGGCAGCCTAGAAATCGTCCCCTGCAGCCGGGTGGGGCACGTCTTCCGGAAGAAGCACCCGTATGTTTTTCCAGATGGAAATGCCAACACATATATAAAGTAAGTGCCCTGGGGCTCAGCGAGTGTGGACAGCGGCATAGATGGCCATGGCCTTGGCTGAGGGTTGCTGCTGGGGGGCTTCAGCTGTCCCTCGTGCTTGGTGAGGCTGCCCAAGTCCCCTGCTGGACAGCAGCTGCACGTGTTCCCTGGACTCTGCCCGGGCAGGGGCTGGCTTCAGGGGCTTCAAGCCACTGATCAGTGCCACCCTGCAGGGTGTGGACCCCCAGTATTTGGGGTTGTGTGGGGTGCAGGAAGGGCAACCCTTTTGTCCCAAAGTTCTAGAAGACCTGCTGCCCCCAACCCACCTTCAGGCTGGGTTACTAGGAGACAGGGAGGCACAGTGGGAACAGCTTGGGTGCCTGCTGCTCGCCTCAGCAGGGCATGGAAAGGGCCCAGAGGGGCAGGGCCTGAGGCTCTGTCCCTGTCCGCCTGTGTTCTCATCTCCTGCCTGTGAGATGGTACACTTTCACAGGGACTCAGAGGCCCCAGGATGCCCACTGCCGTCCCCGGCTTCTGCCTTTGTGTACCCCTTTCCTTTCCTTGGCCTCTCCTCTTCCTTCTTCCTTTTCTCCTTTCAGAGAAATTCCTGTGGTTTCCTTTTCCCCTCTCCCATCTTCTTCTCACTCTTCCCTCCTTCCCTATCCTCTGCCATTGTCATCGGATGCCTTCACTCCTCCACTGTCCCCTCTTTCTCTCTGTTGTGTCATTTGTTGGTCCACTGAGGGGAGGGGAGCTATGCACCCCTTTGGTGCCCCTTATTAGGGTGTCCCTGTCCCCTCCTGTGCTCTTCCGCCCTCGGGTTTCTGCACACATAAGCAGATTGTCTGTCATGTCCTGACAGCCATCCTGGAGGAGGCGGGGCTTGAGCAATGGGAAAGTGACCCGTGCCGCTAAGAGAACAAATAGGGTGAAAGACGGTGCTGAGAGAAGCAGCCCTGGTACAGGGGAGCCCTGTGGCCACCTGGAGGGGCCAGCCTGGGGATAAGGCAGGGCTGGGGCTCCAGATTGCCCTTGGTTCTGAGACTGGGCCCTGGCCAGTGGGCATCCTGTATACCATGGGTGGGTCACTGGGGTTTTAGAGAAATCATGCCCAGATGTCTGCTAAGCAGCTTTCACTCAGCTGACGGGTAGCGGGTAGGCCAGTGGAAGGGCCCCCGGACTGGACTGTGCTGCACATGTATATATGATAGCTCAGGTCCCAGTTTAGAAGGGCCTGCCAGTGCCTTTATCAAACACTTCTGCTCCGAAGCAGAGACTACATCTGGAAGAGCACCCCATTTTCACTTGAACCTCCAAGGTCACTTACTTGGGCCTTGACAAGTGCCCCTACTGCCCAAGACGCCACATGCCTATTTCCTGATGTCGTCATTTCTCTCTGCTCCGGGGCTCCTTCTGGTAGCCCCAGAGCCCTGACTGCTGAATGATGACATCCTCAGTGACCTCTGGGGTAAGACTCAGAGCAAATACCTAGTTACATAAATGCAGAGTGCTGGCCAAGTGTCTGGAAGGGAAGGCTGATCCCTGAGTCTTTCCTAACTGCACCGGCTAACTGTGTGGCCTGGGAAGACCTAGCTGTTCAGACTTTCCCCTTGAAGACCTGGGACCTCAGCACTGCCCTGTGGTAAAGGGGGGAACCTGGGAACAAGAAGCAGAGGATGCCCAGAGGTTGAGCATCCCTAATCCAAAAGTCTGAACTGTTTCAGAATCTGAAACTTTCTGAGCACTGACGTGACATCACAAATGTAAAATTCCATGCCTGACCTCAGCGATCAAAACACAGGTGCACAACCCCACAGTTCATTCAGCATCCCCCAAGGAAAAATGAAATTGCCTTCAGGCTATGAGTGTACAAGGTGTATACAAAACACAATGAATTTCATGTTTAGACTTGAGTCCCATTCCCAAGATATCTCATTATGTGTATGCAAATGTTACAAAATCCAAAAGCAACAACAACAACAAAAATAACCCTGAAATTCAAAACCCTTCTGGTTCTAAGCATTTTGGACAAGAAATGCTCAACCTGTACTAAAATCCTGTGTCTTGGGATAGAGGACCCTTTGGAAATGGGTGGGGCTTGGCTGGGTCACACCCTGGTAACATTGATGTTAGCAGGTCAGTCGTGGCAGCCCCCACCAGGGTGGTGCTGTTAACTCAGCCCACATGTGTATATGGTAGCTGGTGCCCACAGGCCCTCCTCGACAGCCCCCTTCTCAACAGACCCGCCTTTATCTCCCCAGGAACACCAAGCGGACAGCGGAAGTATGGATGGATGAATACAAGCAATACTACTACGCGGCCCGGCCTTTTGCCCTGGAGAGGCCCTTTGGGAAGTAAGTACCCCTTCAGGTTGAGGAGAGCAGAGTCCAGAGGAACCCCATTGTGGGTGTGCAGGGCTTGAGGCAGCTTTTGTAGGGGGACTCCCTGGCAACTCGGAAGGCTAAATCAATGTAGGGGAGTGGGGTCGAAGCTGTGCTTTGTGCAGTGGACCAATGTGTCCAGCTTTTTACAGAAACACAGGGTGCAGGTTGGACAGCCTGAGTGTCCCCGGGTCGGACAGGCTTCCTCCCTCCTCATACTCAGTCACCCACGCTCATTTCTTCCTTCCTTGGAAGGAGCAGTGCCATACAGATGTCCCCTGCAATAGTGCTCAGGCTTCACAGAAGAGGACAGGGCAAGGAATGTTTATTAATAACTAGATACTGTGATGTAAGCTACTTCATTAATCCTTCTCAAACTCTGAGAAATGGGCTTAATTAACCCTATGTACAGATGAGGAGACTGAGGCCTCTACAGGTTAACCTGTTTGCCCTAGACCACAGCATGTAGGAGGGGAATGGAGACTCAAACCGCATCTGTCTAATTCTAAAATCATATGCCCTTGCATTCCCCAACCCAAAGCTGATTGGAGTAGAGAAAAACAGTGACTCATTCATTTGTGTTATCATTTATGTTTCTTTGGGGGCAACCAATGGCTTTTTGTTCTACTAATGCCACTAGTCATACAAAGGAATGGCATGAGGAGATGGGTTTTTTATAGACTCAACTTCACGGGACAAGTCCACCACTGCACAGGAGAATTAAATCACAGCCTGCCAAAACAACCTGCGCCTCGGAAATCATAAATCCACGCCATCCTTCCTGTCTGGCTCTCCTAAACTCCTGAGGCATTTTATTTTCGGATCTCATCACAACCTTGATCTCTTGGCTCTACCCTCCCCACCCCGCCCCCGCAAGCCCTTCTCTCTCCAGCTTGGATTCTACACTCTTGCTCAAAGACAGCTCAGAAGGTCTTGTCCTCAGATCTTTTGTCCTGTTGTCCATGAAGAAGCACTCTCTTCCCTGCATTAAGTTTTCTCAGCCATGAGTGATCCTGACTGTGCCTTGCCCTCCCCTGTACACAGGCTGCTGGATAGAGCTGGGAAACACCCACCAGTGCTGCTAGTCATCCTCCATGGCCATCCTCTCCACAAGACCCTGGGACACCCACAGGCCCTGGACCTTCCTAGTTAGCGTTCTCCTCCATCATCATTAAACCTTCTCCACTCTCCCCAGCCCTCGAGTCCACCTCCCTCCTTCAAACTTTCTCCTGTTTCACAGCTGAAATAGAGGACATCAGCTTCCCCACACAAACCAGCACATTAACATCACTGCGTCTGCACCATCCTCTTGTCTCAAAGGACGGGCTCCTTCCTGCTGAGAGAGGCTAGCCTTCCACCTGCACTGGGACGCAGCATCGCTCCCCCACTCATTCATAAATCAACCTTTACTGAGCTCCCACGGCCAGGGTGCAGCTCCTCTTGCTTCCTGGTGCAGGGCTCATCTAACTTCAATGTGCACACAGACTTCCTGGGGATCTAACGCGAATTCTGACAAGTTTCTGCGTTTGCAATAAGCACCCGGAGATTGCTGGCCCGAGGGCCACGATGCAAGGAGGGAGGCTTTGGCAGGGAGGCTCCTAAAGTAGCGTGTGCTCTGGAGTCACCAGGGGCGCTTCAGACACACTGCAGCCTGTGCTCTTCCTCCTGGGAGTCTCTTCGCTTGATCTGGGGTGTGTCCTGGGCTGTGGGATTTTTTAACAAATGCCCCCAGGTATTTATAATGTGCAGAGAAGTGTGGGAACCACACTGGGGGGCTGTCCCGCAGAAGCCTTTACTCTCTCCCTTATCCCTGGCCTCTCTGGGCATCATTTCCATCAGCTTTTAAATGTATTCAGTGTCTTACATCTTTATTTTAAAAAAAGGATGAGGAGGAGGAAAGAAAACAAACTATAGAACCCTGTGTAGCTCACCAGTGCTCGTCACTGCATCTCTCTTTTCCACTTGTCCAGAGGCCTCCGTGAGACAGCAGGAGCTGCCTTGGGTCCACGCCCTCCCGGCACGCCTGGCCCCGGTGCCCGGCACCTGCTCCCACCTACTCTCAGTGACTGATGCGTCCCCGTACTGTGCTCTCAGGCTGCCCCATTATCTCCCACCCCGCCTCCCCCGCTATCTGCGTGCCTCTGGTCCCTGGGCCAGCAGGACTCCGCAGCCATGGCCTGCCTTCTGCTGCTCGGCCCTTCCTTCCCTGTCCCATTTGCAGGCTCCCCCCCCCCCGCCCCCCCACCATGTGCTGATCCTCTCCCTTGGGCCTGTCCTAAGGCCTCTTCCTGCCACACATTCTCTCTGGCCCTGACCATCACATCTCTGCTGCCTGTACCTGCATCTCTATTTCTATCCTGGGCCTCTCCTCAGCACTCCAGTCCCCTATATCAAAGTGACAACTGGACACTGCCACCTAGATATCTCTCAGGGGCCTCCTGCCCAACCAGTCCTTGATGGAATGCATGCGGTTTCTCCTGAACACACTCCTCTTCCCATATTCCCCGTGAACAGTCTTCCTGGTACTCTGTTGTCCACGTCAGCCACTGGGGCTCAACCCTGACTTATCCCTGTCCTTCCCACCCCATCCAAATGATCAGTCCTGGTAAAACGGCCTCATTCAGGCGTGACCACCCAGATCCGTGCTAGACCCTGAATATTCTGGGTAAGAGGTTCTGGTGCAGTCTCAGGGGGCCCAGGGAGGCAGCAGGGGTGGCGGGAGGGGAGACAGGGCCAGTTCTGTGTAGCTGCCAGGGAAGGAGAAGTCGGAAAGAGCTCCCACAGGGGTCAGTGCAGAGGGAGAGAAGGGGCTGGACAGAGCCTGTGTGCTCTCCATTCCACCCACTTCCCCATTTAAAAGTGTGTTCAGCACCTGGGCTTCCACACCTGCCCCCCCTGCTGTCCTCCCTGTCCCCAGCCCCACCTTATCAGACCCAACAGCAGATGCTGTCAGAGCAGGAACATCACCATTCGTGCTCTGCTTTGAACCCACGAGTTCTATCTCAAGGCGCTTAAATAGTCTGTACTCCTCAGCACTGCCTCATAGGACCCTTCCTGGTCTGTCTTCCCTCTCATCCCGCCCACCTTCCCTCGCCCAGCCCCCACATGTGTTCACATACACACGTCTATTTTAAGATCCTGCAGCACCAGCACCGTTCCTGAGAACAGAACTTCCCTCCCTCCTCGCGTGCTCATCTCTCTCCTTGCTCTCCTGCCTGCAGCAGGGGCCTTACCTCAGCCTCTTTCTGGTTTGTCTAGAAAACATCCACTCTTCCAGGTAGCAGCATCAACATGCGAGGGGGCCCTCTGGGGTGTCCCCACCGCCCTGCGTGCCCACCTGTGACACATGTAATGGCTATAATGGTTTGTTTCCCTGTCTTTGCCTCCTGTTCAAAACCTTTCTATTCTATCCTACATTGGATACGATGCCTGACACATAGTAGGTGCTCAGTGAATATTTGATGAACGAATACATGGCTGGGCCCCAGAACCAACCGGAGAAGAGGATTCTTGTGGCTAGAGTAGTGGGGAGTGGTTTTCCAATTGTAGAATACAAAAAGATTCTAAGTAGACCCAGAGCTCCAGCAATGAATTTTGAATAACACATAGAATGTTCTTGCAGCTTTGTTTCTAATGAAAAGTAAAAACACCCCCAAATTCCATTTTCAAATAAAAAGCATGAGCGCTCAGTGTCATTACCACGCCATTTGTGAGATAGTGCTAAGTGTTTCATAGCTCTGTCTGGAGCTACAGAATTCTCTCCTTGGGAAATTTCCCCAGGACCCTCCAAAGAGATGTGGATGCAGAGCATGGGTGCCTGGTGCTCCCCATCCTGGCCACCTTCCTGGTGTCTGCCTCTGACAACTATTTTGTCTTTGTGTTGTCCTCACCCCTGGCACCACCAGCATTGAGAGCAGATTGGACCTGAGGAAGAATCTGCGCTGCCAGAGCTTCAAGTGGTACCTGGAGAACATCTACCCAGAACTCAGGTATCCTCCCTCTGGTGGAGCCTTGGCTAGCTACAAGGAGTGGCCCTCCCCTGGCTCAGTCTAGTAAAGAGATGGCCTGTGGCCAACTGGATGAGGG